GACGGCGAACTGTCTGGGGGATAATGACGAAATGAGAAAAAGAGAGGAGAGGGCACGGATTACCCCTTGCCGCCGAGCCCGTACGCCGATAGACTCTGCGGCGCTGCTGCTGCACGGCGGCGTGGAGGGCCACGGATTGCCGTGCGAGACTCTTCAACACCAAATGTAGGTCAAGGTCGTCCCAGTGCAATAAGGCGGGGATGTGCAGCCCGGAGCTGGGGTGCGAGGGAGGGGGGAGGGGCAGCATCCAAATCAAAGTAGGAGGGCCTAAGAGGCGGAGGGCGCGCGTCCCCGCCACCGTGCCGAGCAATGCCAGCCACCCCGACCCCCCTTCCCCCCACCGCCGGCAATGCGATGCGGCGTGCGGGGTGCATCTCAAACGAGTCCCATTTGGAGGCGGAGGCCAACTGGGGGCCGGGACGCCCCCGGGTGCCCCCCCGGAGTGCAAAGTGCGGTGCATGCATAGCGCGACGACCGAGGGCCGGCCTTCGCCGCCGCAAGGGCGCGGACCATTCCACAAACAATCTCACTTATTGCAGCTGCATTTGGAGGGCCCTCTTCTCTCATCCAAGCTAAGCTCTCGTTTTCTCTCTCTTTCTCTCTCTCCCTCTCTCTCCCACACACCTTTCTTTACGCAAAAGTTTTAAATGCGACTGCAACTTTTCTTGGTTTCTCTGGTCCCGATGGTTATGTCGTCGATTTGGCAGGGTGTTTAGTAGGGGTGGAGAGTTCGGGGCGCGATTGCACGTGTAGCAGGGGCGGCACTCGGCTGCGCCCGGCCGGGGAGCGGGCACTGGATGGGAGGGGTACTGGTTGAGCCGGAGAGACTTGTCCTGGCGGAGTCAGGGGCGGGCGGCGGGGGGTGTCACACAGGAATGCCATAAGGCCGCGAAGAATGAAGGGGGGCTGGGTGGGGGCGACCAATATGAACGTCTAGCTCTCCTTTTCCTGCCTCGCTCCTTTGAGCCCTCTATCTCTCTCTGACTCTCTTCCTCCACCCATCCCATCTATAACGCCCGCAAAAGAAGGTCTATACATAATGGGTTAGTTTGTCATTCTATAGAGGATAGAAGTCGCCAGTCCAACAGAAAGACAATTATTCGGGAGATGGGGACGACGGGAGGGGCACTGCTTGTTTATGGTGACAGCAATGTCCCCGGACATCGGCAGCAGTGGCGGCGGCAGTAGTTTAACGACCGCCCGTCTCATGTCGTCGGCTTCCTCGAGTGTAATTCGGACGAAAAGCGGCGGCAGCCGCCTATGTTGGCATGGCCACGCACAACTACTTAGTGCTGGGGGAGCTGGACAGCAATTACTGACGGCCGAACACGACTACTTGCAGTTGTTGCACTCACCCGAGCTGTGCGGCGAGCTGTTGGAGGAGCCGTAGCCGTCGTCGAGCTGCTGGGCCGCGGAGGCGATGCTGGCGGGGGAGGCTGGCGCCGGGCCCGAGACGTGCTCGACGACTCCGCCGCCGCCGCTGCCGTGGTCCGCAGAGGACGCCGACGACGCTGTGGCCAAGGGGGCGGGACCCCCGCCGCCGGGGCCGGGGCCACCGCCAGAGCCACCGCCGGGGCCGCCGCCGGGGCCGCCGGGGTTGGCAGCCCCCGGGGGGCCGCCGCCGGGCCCACCCCGGATCACCACGAGCTCCATGACGACGTGGCCCTTACTGCATGCTCATGACCTGGAGGGGCAGCCAGCGCGACACAGTCGTCGTGAGAGGAGGAAGGGTCCGCCGCACGGCCACACTGCCGGTGGGCGCAGCTTGCGCAGTCGGGTGCAACTCGCGGGGCTTTGGCACGTGCCCGTCAAACGCTCTCGTGCCGAGCCTTGGCTATCCATAATGAAGGAAGGTCTCGAACGGCTGACGAGCTGCTGCCCCCGCCCGGCCCGGGCCCGTCACGATGTCGGGAGCGGCCAGAGCAGAGCGGCGCGCGCCCGTGTGCGTACCCTGACCTTTTGCGCGACCCAAACAACACGCGGCGAGCAGTTTCGGCTGAAGCAGCCCAGGAAGGACAGGACACGGCGGCGGCCGCGACGTGGGAGGCGATCCGGGCCGCGACAGTGTGTAAAGATATGGGGAGGGAGTCGGCTGAGCCGTCGCGGCTGACCGACACGACTCTGGCAGCCTTGGAGCCGCACAAGCCGCACCTCGCGCAGCCACCGCGCGGCACACGGCCTCAGACAGGCGCAGCCGCCGCGGATTACGGACAAATGTTTACCCAAGTCCTGGAAAACCGTCGTGAGCCCAAGCGCGCAGTCGTTTGTTCAGCAAAAAAAAAAAATAAAAAAAAATACTCAAGTGACGCAAAGTGATGTCAAATCAGGGGTAAACTCAACAATTGGTTTCTTTCAAGACAAAGGTAGCCGTCGTCGTGCGTGGGTCTTATTGGTGGACACTATTGCGATGTTAATTTTGATGTACAGAATGCTGATTGGGACTGCGTATTTATGGTTTTGAAAGAAAAAAAAAGCAGAACGTGTGCAGCAAGCCCTAGAAGAAAATAACTGAAGCCACTTTCAAAAAAAGAAGGTTTTTACTTTGAACTTTGAACCATATGTCATTGTGTACTGTAAAAAAGTATTTTTTTAAACTATTTTTCTTTCACGCTCTTGATTGAGTACAATGGTGGAATTCCAAAGCGCAATTTTACATCCATCAAGAGTGTTACTTCTTTGCTGCGTGATTAAATAAAAACTAAAAAAAGGCATGTATCTAACCCCCGAAACAGTTCACTCCTACCAATCTTTTTCAATTTCCAACTGGATGGCACTCTTCCATGTTGATGATGCTGCTGCTTCTGGTGGCATACCTGGGGAATGCCTCGCACGTCTTCTCGTCGCTCATCGCTCAGTTGTATGACATGATGCTGTGTCACGTTAGTGTGACGAACTGCTGCGGTGCACTGTGTCACACTCGCAGCGTTACACTGGTTTTACGTGGAGCTATGTCACGTGTCACGTCAGTGTCACTCACTGGCGCAGTGCATTGGGTCACACTCGAAGCGTATCACTGGCGTTACGAGATGCTTTGTCACGCCAGTGCGGTGCACTGCTGTGGCACACTGATTCACACTCACAGCGCAACACTAGCGTTACGAGGCGCAATGTCACGACAGTGTCACGCACTGCTGCAGTGCATCGGCTCACCCGCAGCGTCACACTGGCGTTACGAGGCGCTAGGTCACGACAGTGTCACGCACT